TATTTGCACATTTCAGGGCAGCCAATGTGAGAAATGTAAGCCAAATTTCGTAGGCGATCCAACAGATAACGGCCAGTGTATTCCTTGCTCTGTGTTCTGTCACGGACATACGACAGTCTGTTCGAATGATGGAGATATTTTAACCCGTGACGTAAGCACGGATTTGGAGGATTACTATAGAGATACCAAAGCGAGATGTGTTCGATGTGCTAATAATACGGACGGACCGAGGTGTGAGAGGTGTATAGAAGGGTACTTCAGAGGTTCTGAGGACTTTAGAGATGCGTGTCGACCGTAAGTATAAATAACACAAAACTTCTAAACGGTATTCAGAATGGAGAATATAGTATCTAAATTGTAAAGTTTTTCCTATTTCTAAAAGGTCATCTAAAACCACCTCTGACAAATATTATATTAAATATTAATTTTTGTCAAAATTATTAGTCGCTTTTGAATTGAATCTTATTGTCATGCTTATTTTTTTATAACTTCTGATAAAACTCAAAGACAAGCATTGTAGGAGACTTATATACTACTACATATATATTATATAATAATATTTATTTCCAGTTGCGAATGCCACGGCCACGGAGACACCTGTGACCCAGTGACTGGTGAGAAATGCAATTGTGGAAATAACACAGAGAGCGATGCGTCCTGTCAAACTTCAAGCTCTAGTAAAAACTCTGCGCAGGAGTGCTGGAGGTACCAATGTGTCAAATGTAAAGACCTCTATATGGGAGACCCGAGGAATGGACATCAGTGCTACAAAACCATTAATATTGAAAATAAGATATGCTTTGATGGAAAGTCGATTGGTGAGTTAAATTTAATTTTGGTATACAAATCTTCAATTGTTTTTAATAGCTTGGTTCGCCGTATTTTAACCGAATGCCTTCGTTGCTCTTTCCAATAGATAGATAGGCTTACCTATTAAATCTAGTATTAAGAATGTAGTTTTCAAATCTAGGCCTTATTTCATTTACTTATTAAGCAAAAACTTTTTGAAAACTATATATATTTATTATGCTATAATATTTTTTTTACAATTTCTATTCGATTCCACGTATTGCCCGTACAGTTTTTATCATGTGTTGTTTGCACATTTACTTACGAAAGTCAATTTTTTTAAACAGATGAATGCAAAATCAAGCCACGTCCCCTATACCCAGGACAAACTGTATTCGTCGCAGTAAACCCTCGATACATGAATGTCGATATACGCGTCATAGTTGACGTCACTCAAGGATCTGTGGACCTTTATATGAGCCCTAACGACAGTTCCTACGTGGTCTCAGTTAATTCATCGACCGGCCAACACGCAGTGGAGTTAGATCCGAGCTATTACAAACACGAGCCATTCCGAAAAATGCCATCTTTCGACGACCACGTACCAAAAAAGAATAGAGTCACGTGGTACTATGATAAAATTGAATATGCCCTAGCTGATTATACGGCGAAGGATTTGGCAACATTCGTGACGGTCGACAAGAGAAATGTGTTATTGAGAGTGAGGAACCTCCGAAACAGACTTGTGTTGACCCTCCCACAAAATGTTCACGATTTGACCCATACGAAGTTCTATATAATAATTAGGGCGAGGAACACTGAAGAGGGCTCGGCGACGTTCGGTATCGCATTTTTCCGCCAGGATCAGCTCCATATAGATCTTTTTTGTGTTCTTCTCGGTGTTTTTCTCGTGTTTCTTCTTGTTTTTGGCCGCGTGCGTTGTCGCGTGGAAAGCGAAGCAAGCCGCCGATGTTCGCAGGGCGAGAAGGCGGCATGTTGTTGAGGTATGTAACTTTATTTAGTTGATGATTAAAATTAAGTGTAAATTGATTTTCTCAATACCTTCTTTATAAAATGAAATTCTAATATTTAAAACAAAATACTCTCTTCCGCAATAATTATAACAATTTAGTTATTTCGAATATTACTTTTATCCGTAACTGACCCGTGGCAGCATGGTCAGTTTATATATTGTATAAAATTATATGTCTAAACATTTCGTGGTATTCATCGTGGTTTTACCTTTTGTAGATGCTACACATGGCGAAACGTCCTTTTGCGGGAGTGGTAGTGTTAGTATCGGGTGGTGGGAGGAGACGCGGTGAAGTCCAACCTGTTGCTATTGAACCTACAGCTGACGGTAGAGCAGCTGTCACATCCGTACTTGTAAGGTAAAATTAACACAATGGCTATATAAATAAAACTTTATTTAAAATTTAACACCAAAATGACAAGTATTTACAAATGTATCACAATTATGCTTAATTATCAATTTAAGAAACTGGTTACGATCAGCAAAAAATATAATTTGAAATGACGTCTGAATCATAAAGGCTGGGTGTCGCTTACAGTTTATATAAAAGACAAGACAGCTGTTTAAGTAAAATAATGTTTCCCTCTTAAGATCCTTGCTTTCGGCTTTCACCTTGTGTAATCTACCGCTCTTTGGCCTGTCTAGTGCTCACAATGTGATTTGTCTTATTTCCAATAAATTTGATTATTGAGGTTTTAATTCTATACAGGCTACCGGGCGGGTCCCGAGCCCCAGTACGCTTGGCTCTAGCGTCCGCGCTCGTACTTGTAACGCGCGCGTCCGCACCACGCCAACGCCCACGACGGCCGCTCACATAATCAGTTCCAACTTCGGAGCACAGAACATCAACTTCTCTTTTAACATCGAGCTAAAATGGTTATTTACAAAGATAGTAAAGTAAAAAAAAAAAATAGGAATCTTATCACAAACAAATATTTGTGCTAAAAGTTCTTAATAAAATAAGATGAAAATGTTTACTGTGGTCCAGACCATCATTCCGTTACCAAATCGCCATATCAACCCACAAAGTTATTGACGGGCTTATAAATCTTTGCGCTTTGCTGTATAAATTATTTTGATGTGTTTAGAAAATTTTTAAATTGTTTGTTGTTTGTATATTTAGACAAATCGCTGGAATTTATGTACAATTTTGAAACTTTTTAATTAGGTGTGCTGCTAATAAAGGTAAGTATAAAATAGTATATTTTAGGGAATCTGAAATCATACACTTATTGATATTTATATCACATAGTGCAACTATTATTTAAATTATTTACACAAAATTGTCATATCAACAAATCCCATAAAAAGAGCCAAAGGAATCAAATAATTGCGCGATAGGGTTGTGAATAGCCAATAGTAGCCAATACTGTTGAGTTGTTTATTTCGAAATTTTATTATGCCATGTTGGAATACATAATTATTATCTTATGGCTTGTTATAACTACATACATATATATTTAGAACCTAAATAATTTTAAATATTTCTAGGTGTGTTATTTTATGGTTATAGTGAATCTCTTTGGTGTATATTTCGCTACAGTGGGTTTCTTTCTAAATTCATATGAGAAAATATTGTTTAAGGTAATGTATTATTCCAAAACAGCAGTACATATTTATGTAGGTCTATTGAGATCATTCATGTCTTAATAAGGTACTTTTTTTGATCAAACTATCTTGGAATGAAATTTATTAGTGAGCACAATTTTAGAGCTTTGAAATTCTAATTCTGTAAACCCGAACCTATTTTAATGAATGGAATGATGACCACTTACATAAAATTTGTTAAATTAAGTTCTTCAATAATATTTTAAGTTAGCCAGTAGTCATTGAGCACATAACTTCTTTATTTAAAAGAATATATTTGATTGTATGTTAATGTTATAACAATAATATTTTTTGCAAAAGCTTCTAAAGCAAAAATAAAAAAGAATCTGCGGCTCATAATAACACGGAACACAGTAATGAATATATGAAATTTAAATTGCTCAGAATGTAATTGGCAGTATTGAATAACTGAATTAAGAATAAATTAGATTAAATTGGGTATTTTTAAGAGAAATAAAACTATTAGATGTAAAGTAAGAGAGTACTGATATTATTTGTAGTAAGCTGTTTGTGATCAGAATTATGAATACCTAATGGTACCTTCAAGTCCATGAAACATTCCAATTGTATATAAAAACCTTTACATTTCTTATACAAATTAACCTAATTGGCAGGCAAATAAAGCTTTAAGTCTTATATATTATATAAGAAATCTATTTGCTCATTTCTTTATTGTGTAATACAAGTATTTAAAAGGCTGCTTCTCTTTTTAATGATATTTTTATTTTATATGATGAGTTAGTTTTTATTTATTTGCCTTTCTTGAGTTGTTTTATGTACAAAATGATATTATTTGTGTTTTTAGATTTTACACTTCAAGTACAATAATTTTAAAGATCTTTTATATTTGTTTATATTAGCTACATATTTTAGATCTGAATGTAAACATTGTTTTTGCATGAAATTTGTGACTTTTAAGATCTACTCAAATAATACTTGCTCAAAAATTTAATCAATCAATTATTTTCATATTTTTTTATGAAAGCTGATTTTTGTACAGGAGCAGTGCAATATGAATTAGGTGAAAACTTTTGATGGACTTAAGTAAAGTACCTTCAATATGATTTCCTACATTATTATTCCATCAGTAGAATTAATTATCCACATTTATGGTACTTTTCTTACGATCCATTCAAAAGGTTCCATTAAGAAGAAAAAATGTAAATACATGAACTAAGAATATATGCCATAAAATATTTAGTTGGAATATTAACCTTTCTCAATAACATGTCCATGACAACAGCAGTTGTGACATTCAGGTAAATATGATATATTAGCAGTATTAAATATGTAAGCAATATGTATTTTTGGTTAAAATGTTTATAAATAAAATATACTGTTGGTTGGAAAGTGAGTTTTATTTAAATAAACTTAAAATTAAATACAATAATGTGACCAATTACATAAGTCCATACTAGGCTAGAATGAAAGGCTTATGAAATTAATTAATTGAATCATTTTTAAGTAACTATTGTTTCTCTGAGTTGAACCAGACCAAATCCCAAACTGTCAATGTATATAAACAGCACTATGGTCCTGAATGGTGTGGTTGTGATTACAATTAAATTGTTTACTGATCTTTCTGAGTAAGTAAATGTGTTTTGATTTTTTGTAAGAGCTCTTTTTTAACAGTATCCGGAACAATTGCTCTAGCCCGAGGTGTGACTCTTGAAACCAGCGTATCAAACGTTATGTTGTTAGTATCATTTTCTTTGACTACATCTCGACAAAGCATTCGAACTTGATCCCTCCAACCACATTCTATTAGCCTCTTCCGTAGTAATTCCTTAAATCTACAAGAAATATATTGTCAATACATTTCTTATCATACGATAAATAAAAAATAAAACAATAATTTATACCTTTCGCGATCACCACTAAGAATTAAGCGCTGATGAGCAATAGTATTGTTTACAGTCATTTTAAAAAAACTTCAAACTCAGCACACAGACTGCTATCACAACAACGTTCAAATAAGTTAACTAAAAGAAAAGCTACAAAGACGAAAATATTTTGATATCTTAACTAATAAGTAAAAATTGTTGTTTGGTTTGTTATTCCTAAGTAAATCAACTAATAGTCATCTGTCAATTCTGTCATCTGTCTGCCTAGAACTGTGATAAAATATCGGAATATCGATATTTTTTTAAATCAGTTGATATTTTTCATTTTTGTTCAACTATCTTATAAGCAAATCTAACTTTATTTACCCAAAATTAGTCATAATAGATTTGATTTTATATAAGTATGTGATATTTGAATGAAAATAATACAGATGTATTTATCCTTCACTATAATTACAATGGTAGACTCGAAATTAATACACAATACAATTTAATTCCTCGATACAAAAAAAATTAAAAGGGTGCGGGTATATTTACGACGTTTGTCCAATATAGTGGTATCGAAGAATAACAGCGAATGTCGCTGAGCCAGCCAGTCACACTATCAAGGACAGATTGAGCTTGATTGAAAACCTCCCCCCCATGTCGGTGCATTAAATAATAAAGCCTATTATCTATTATATCTATAAAACAAATCAACTTATACTAATTTTAACTATGGTTTAATATAATAGATAAAAACCCCGTTCTTTTAATTTTTGCTAACATATATAAAATAACACAGAGACAGCCTCATCATTATCAAAATAATTTTTAGAATCGGTTTCGTAGTTATGGAGATTACCTCTTACAATCAAACTAAAAACCTTATACTACTTAAAATATTATTTTAAGTTTTTATAATTTTTATTGGTAAAGATAATGTTCGATTCTGACAATAACAAATAAATACACTTACAGGTGAGTAGGTTTGCATACGCGGTGTTCCCTTTGGTATGGAGCTACTTTTCACGTGTTTAATCTGGCACTCGTTATGTAAACCACATATTAATATTTTATCTAATTGTATTCATATACTACGCACCTATAAAATAAAATGCCATCGAGTAACGCACCTTGACCTTTACTCGCCGTACTATAATATAATATATAATACGATTGAGGACTTTTATTGCTTATGTGTAGACCACATAGGCTCTTTAAATCCACCCTCTCAATATACCGCTGGCCAAAGCTGTGCTTTTTGCTAGTAAAATATCGATATATCAAACTCCGAAGTAGATATATTGAATTGAACATATCGATAACCCAAATTTTGAAAAATATCAACAGCCCTAGTGATGCCAACTCCTACACTCTACAGTCTACACTCTACACCATGCTCCCCCGATGATCAACTTAAATATTTTACGTTTCTAATTTAACGTTCAGTTTTGAAAAAGTTTCTGTTAATGATGTAAGCACACATCATTTCGACGATTAAACGAATGATCAAATTTCAATTTCCGACTGCATGGTACCTTCATAAATTTCATAATTGTATTAACCAGGTGATCAAAAGATACAAGTGTAATTCTTTCAAGGAGAAAGTAATTACATTTTTAAAGGTACGGTGCCTCTATAATATGAGGTATTTATTGGATTATAAGTTATCCACATTGCACAACTTTCAAAGCAAACCAATGTTTTATTTATTTCGAATAAGTTATGCTAGGAATCTGTTCAAAAACAACACAATGTCAATGACAGTAAAAAGCAAATTGTGTAACATATGCTTGCTTCCATGTCTAACTTAGCCAGCAACGGTGAAAAACAATAAAAAATCGAATAGTTTGCCAAGGAAACATGGAGAGTATGCTAATCATTAAAATTACAAGACATTTGGACAAATACAAAAATATGGCAATTCACAAAAATGATGTTCTACAAATAAAATCAATAAAATAACATGGAACTGGATATTATATTATAAGAGGAAAAAAAGAAAAATGGATATAAGATGTATTAGTATGGTATCCAAGAGAAGGCAAAAGGAAGGGAGGACGTCAAGTAAAAATATCGCCAGATGGTCTTTCGAGCAGCCTAGCCCGCGATAGAATAGATTGGGCAAAAATAGAGGGGCCTATGTCCGAAGACCATTCAAAATGTTTGAAAAGAAAAAAAACGTTAATTGTTTTTTTTCCAATTTATATGTATATTAACTTTGTAAATAAGGGTCAGAAGTTTTATTATAACTTGTATTATATTAAATTACTTTATGCTTACACTCGTAATTATTAGTTAGGTGACCCCTATACCTACTTTAAACGTAATTCGGGGTAAACATGTGATTCTCTGTAAGAAACAAGAGATAATACAATTAAAATTATTATGACTGATCATAATTTTATGTCATTTATCGACGCCAGACATAATTAACACTTCTACTGAAACAATTTTCAATGCTCTAAAATAAAACCAGTCGAGTAGGTAAAATATGAAATCAGCGACTACCACTACCTTCGCTAAGACTGCTAACTGCTGCTGACAGTTCTACTCTAGTACTTATGCTAATTACTTTTACTCGACAATAGATACGGGGATAGCTAAGCTAGATAATAATAACACAATTATTTAATTCTACCTCAGACACTTAAACGTTACTTATGGAATGTTGAAAAAAAAATTGAAATGAATAATACCGCTTTCATTCTATACCTACTTAGCACTTGTTGTGATTCACACTTTAATCCAATTTTAATACGCTCGGTAACTAGTAGCATTTCTTCGGGAAAATACAAGAGTCGTGTTTGTACTTTTAAATTTTATAAAGATGAATATCCGCTCTACAATTTTCCACATTTTCATTTTAAGTTTATTTGTGACTATCTATGTATGATAAATATATTTTTTGCTTTTCGCTATATATTTTCTTATTTTATTTTGTGAAATTATTGTTTCAAACTTTTTTAGGCACGTCAATTCAGAGTTACAGATCAAGTATTTTTCGATATTGAAAATGAAGATAAGCCAATCGGTAGAATCGTCGTTGGATTGTTCGGCGATTTAGCGCCAAAAGCGGTAAAAAACTTTAAAGTTCTTGCAACAAAAGGCATAAAAGGAAAATCGTACAAGGGCACTAGTTTTAATCGAATTATTAAAAGATTTATGATTCAAGGTAAGAAATTCTTAAAGGTATTTCGCATTCTAATAAATTGTAGAGTTTTTGTTTTTATAAATTTTGCGTTATAACAGTAGCTTATTAACATATATATACAGCATAACATATATACTCTAGTATTGTTTGCCTTATTTCTCACCAAAATCGTACCAAAAACAAAGTACTGAGCTAATCTAAAGTATATCTAATATGACTAAGACTTACAAAGCACAAAGCCACCCTATGTCCAAATTCAAAGCTGAAGAAATAGGTTTACGATTTCTTTCTTACGGTTTTTAATTTTTTTTGCACTGTAGTGAAAACCATTATTTGAAGCCATATATTCATTACTGTCTTATTAATGTTATGTTGCTTTTATAATATAAAATGAAAATATAAATAATGAAACCTAAATGTTGTATTTTCTATTAAGTTATTGAAACTTTGTAGGAGGTGATGTTGTGTCTGATGATGGTGGCGGTTCAATAAGTATTTACGGCGAAGTCTTTGATGATGAAAATCTAGATACACAACACACCAACGCAGGTTTTGTATCTATGGCTAATAAAGGTAAGAGTGTTTTTTTATTACACAATTGCAAATTGATCTACGCATGTTGCCAATTTGTGCAATTTTATAAGTGTCCAACATTAACTTACGACCCGATTCAAAATCATAATAATTTTTTACTTTTAGGTAAAAATACTAACGGTTGTCAATTCATTATAACCGTTAAAGGTACACCTTGGCTTGACGGCTTACATACAGTTGTTGGAAAAGTAAGTTTAATATATTTACTTAAACAGATTAAAACAGTGAATCGATATGCTCACTGTAAAGAAGATGGGAGAAGAGGTGAGGGACTCCGTTGGAAAGTTCAATCATTCTTTTTCAAGTCTCAAACGAGGATTTTCTTTTATATACGGAAAGCAGTTTTTCTTGCAAGTTTGCCGGTGTTATTAGTTGTGCAAAAATTGCTTTTGTGTTTACACACCAAATCTTACCAAAGTATTACACCCTTTATCTTTTATCTATTTCTACAGGTATGTGTATAGGCGAATCACGCTATTCGCTTATTTATACACGCTATTCTCCAAGAAATAGTTACGATATTCGTGCCACCTTAAGAATGTTTTAAAATTCTCTTTTCGTTAATATCCAGGTCGTTGAAGGTCAAAATATCGTTCATGTCATAGAACATACACCCACGGATGTTGATGATCGTCCACTGAAGCGCGTGTTTATAGCAAATTGTGGCGTGTTACAGACCGATCCATTCTACGTGTCTGATAATCCATACGAGTGAGTGATATTCAAGTTTTTTTTTTAAATTTAAATGCCATTGCTGATAATAATGACCTAAGACTATTTAGACGCCGAATAATACCAATCTACAAACAAATTCGATATTCGCTTCTCAAGGAAAACTTTCTGTCTGAAAATAGCTCCCGAAAATTGCAAGGGTACTCTACTACCCTACTCTTAAAAGATATTTTGGCCAACCTGAGATGTGCTTAGCTCCATAAATTGAAGATAGATGTAATATTATGTATAAGGAATAAAAAACTTTTTCTATCAGTTTGTTGTAATGCTTTCATTTCGTTTATTTTTATCATTTTAACTCTTTAATTTATAAGGAATTTGAAGAAATATGTCAGGCACCAAGGTTACATACCTTAGTGGATTTTTGGTGTTTTCTGTACTATTAGTTTATTCATAATGTTTAAGCATCTACGCAACGAAGAATACTTTTATCAACATAATTGTCTTTTCTTTCAGCTTGTGGGGATGGATCAAGGCGTCGGCTGTGCCACTTACGATGTCATTTTCGATACTCGGTTTCTTTCATTGGATGATATCAAAAATAGATTTCTAAAATATACATTTTACCAAAATTAATGTGTTAATTAGTCGATAAAAAATATTTTTTGTTTCTTTAATTTAGTTCTTAATGTTTATGCTACATATTATATTAATTAAATTATAAGTATATTAAGTTAAAAAGGTGGATATACGAAATACAATTTATATCCAGTGAAATTATAATACTATAAACAGAGATCACCTATTATTTTTTAGAAAAATAACTTCAGTATGTACTAAGACTTAAAATTTATAAATAAAAAACAATAAGGTGTTTTTATTAATTTTATTTTAATACTTAAGTTAAGTTATTTACATTACTTATATTTAAATCAGTTCTAGTAATCACAACATTGTTAGGCATTAAATTAAAACATGTTAATTTATTTTGTTTACAATAACGTAATTTTTAAATTGAAATAAAATCATTTAACGTATAGTTTTCATAAATACAATTTGCTTGCAATTACTACTCTTCCATGTTTACCAATCATTTAAACCAAAATAAGTTTTTCCGTAAATCGGAGACAAAAAGAGCATTATTTTATTGTAAACGTGATCGTAAGCGGTTCTTCAATGAATCTCTTTAAAGAGTACCCGTTCAATTTGTTAATAATTTTATTGTTTTTTTATAGATTCCCATAAAATAGTAGTAGCGCCTTGGAAAAATATGTGGTAGAAAGCCGCTGCTTTACAAATCAGGGTCAAAACAATTTTGTCAAGAATTTTTAATTAAGAATTAGTATGGAAAAAATTACGTCATTCCGATTCAATTAATATTTTTTATTGAATACAAAAAATTACGGGTCGATGAAATATACTTGGATAAATGCCCTGGTTCTAGCATATGGTTATAAAAATATCTTTTAGTCTCAATATAAATACTAGGTATTTCAGGAAGGAACGATGGCACCAGTTTCCCTTTCACTTTATAATTTTATTCATATTGAAAAATCAGTAAGCCATTTTAACATTAGATGTGTATTGTTAATATTTATTTAATAATCATTATTTAATACAATCAAAGCCATCGCAACAAGTATGCCGAGAGTGGCGGAGAGCGCGTTAGCGGAGTCAGGTACGGCGGTGGTGACGTCAGGCGCTCTTTGAGAGGCGATAGTGCCACAGGCGCGAGCGCATGACGGCCAAGATCGACACAGGTCGCATGGACTGCTCGGTATTCCTCGGAAGAACATACGGGCGCGGTGACCTATACAATTGAAATATATTTATTTACACAATAATATAAAACCCGATAACGCTGCAATGGGATTATCGCTAATAAGGAATTTCTTCCTAGCTATCATATAAAAAAAAAATCAGTGGCACTACAACCTTTTCTAAGTCTGGGTATTTCTGTATGTTTCATGATCATTTGTCAATCTAATAGGTGATCAGCCTCTCTCTCGACTTTTTTGGTCTAAGGCAAGCCAGTTTAAATCGCACATAAACACCAAAGAATCCATTGGGACGGGATTGAACTACCACTAGGGATGAGAGGCCATGCTGAAGAGACTAAGCCAAAACTAGCAGTCAGTATTTCAAAAAATAAAAATATGAAGTAACAATACCAATATATAAAATTATATAATTGGCAACCTGTTATGTGTAGGTAACTTGTTTTATAAAATTTGTGTGACTTGCGTTTCGATATCATTTTTCAAACATAATTTTTTGCTAAACTACACAAACAAAGGATTAGATTGTTTTTGATTGACTCGATATTCTCATCATTATTTTTTAATTTAAGTAGGTGTTACTTCTCTGATTTTTTAAGTTACCTTTGTAAGAAACTCAAACTCAAAATAACTTTATTATATAGGTAACAATAAGTTTATAATAAAAAAATTTAAATTAATAAAAACTATTTAATAAAAAATTGATGTGGTAAATTTATTTCTCGTAATAAAAAGTTAGTAGATTCATTAAAACTTGATACAAATAACTCACTTGAATCGTACAGATCAATTAGCGTTGCCCAGCCGGGTCGTTGTCGAGCAACAAACATAGAGCGCGGTGCACCGAGCGTAGCACATCGCTCGTTGAGCCCCGTTCGAAGCCATGCGTACACTCGCGACCCACCACTTGCTAATCGCGCTCCTACTATGTGGCGAGCTGACTGTTAATATAAATATAGAATAAAGATTCAAAATGGATAACTTTAATAAATAATTTATAATTGCTTCTTATGTTAAAAAAATCACTTGAACTCCATTATGGAAGAATTATTAAAATTGACTCCAGTAAATCAAAGACAATATTATTCATACACTACAGGCAGGACTTAGAGCTAAGTATTCGTAAATCTTATAGGGTTTTTAAGTCAAGGCGTTTCAAGTCTAAACTTTGAAAATCATATTAAACATGATTATGAAAATATTTATTGCTTCATAAAAGTATTTTTTCTCTAGTTTATATTTCATGGAATTTCAGATTATGCAAGAAAAATGAGTTAATGTTCTTACAGTAAGTTCAGTGATGGTGTTTATGTCTGCGAGATACCCTGATGGCAGCTGTACCGTTAGAAGAGTTAGACCACTGTCAGTTTCATTTGCTATTGGCACGAATCTGTGGAAAATCACACATAACAAAATAGTCTCAAAAGTATCCGAAATATACAAAAAATACTTTTTTAATCATGCAATTGTGGAGGAAGGATGGTCTACTGTTCCTCCAACCTAAAGGGAGTATCCTCGACTAGTTTAACCGAAGATCCCGGTTGGTTAAAGTCGAAAATTTTATAGATCCTTAGCGGCTGGAACAATTTCGTTAACGCGTTACAGGTTATGCCGTCTCGCTGTAATTTGCAAAAGCAGATCGCATGCTTGTAGGTGTCGCTACATAATAATGTCCAAAATGGTCTGAATGACCAATGAAAGCGTGATTCGTTTGGTTGTGATTGGTCAAACGGAATGACGGATTGCATCGTGTAAACCTTACTAGAGATTGAACAATAACGACAAAATTATGAAGCTTTTCGGAACGTCACTGTAGTTAAATCACAAAACAATCGCAAACTTATAGGCAATAAATATTAGGAGAAAAACTTAATGTCAAGATGGGGGTTGGGATCAAAATGCTAAAGTTAAAGCAAAGATGCGTTACGACAAAAATTGTAGGACAAGGTCAAGGTCAGGTAGAAATAACTCACCCAATGCAAATGGACAGTTGCAGCCGATCCTTTGTAGAGACTTGGTCCACTCTAGGGTCTAATATGAACCGTGGCCAAGCCGCAGTGACATTAGTGTTACCCACCGCACTTAGACCCACTACGGCGATACCTCTACCCTCGGTGATCGCACTTGCTGAGCGGATGTTACGTATCTGGAATATAACTAAGTCTTTAAAGAAAGTGGTCCTTAAAAAAATTTTCGCTATCGATTCAAAACTTTATACATTTACTAACAATCTTAAGCAAAATCTTCTCAACCTGTCCTATGCTGAAACGAAAAGTATTCTTATTGTGCAACAGTAGTTTATCAAAAAATTTTAAGTGTTCTGTAGTATTTATTACGTCATGTACCTAAAATTATTAATATGCCCCACGACACATGGAATGATAGTGTGGGTGTGCACTTTCATTTTTAACTATAAATCCTTTCTATTATGTGTAATAAAGTGTTTCTCTTTCTTTCACCAAACCATTTTTATTAAATTTTAGCCTAGGTAAAGTTAATTACCTACCACCGGTTCAAACGGAGACACAATATATTTTTTTATCACTTAAAAAATCATCAAATGTGATGGCTTATTGGAGAGAATTTGTCTAAAAACCACGTTTAAAGAAAGATAAATAAATAAACTTACCAATTGTGTTTGTATGATAAGGGCGTTGTCAGAGTCGATGTTGAACTGCCGCGGCTCCTCGAACCCGGTCACATTCACTGACACACGCAATTTCGTCGATGTCTTTATCGCTTCAGCAAACTGTGTTAGCGCGTCTAGCTGGAATGGATTTTTTAATTCAGTCTCATTTGATGTCATTGTAATTCATATAATATTTTGGAGGAAGGATGGTTCTATTTCTCTCTCCTCTCTCCTCTTCTCCAAGTTTAACTACTGACTGGTCTGAATTTCCACTGGCGCAGTTAGTAAGTTCCCAGCAGCCACTGGGCTAAGACCGAGTTGCATATTTTCTTAGCGGCTGGAATAACTTCGTTATCGCATTTCAAGGTATCGTACTGATTTTATTTAGTCATTTATTATGCCGTTGATACACATGGTTTATAACTAGAATAAACAATAAAATATGTATTTAAGCGCCTTCGTTTAATTGGAATTGGTCAAAAATTTGACTAAGAAGAAATCTATCGGTCTTCTTAAAAGCGTCCAGGTTATGCAAATGTGGAAATGTACTAAAGATTTATTACTTTATTTGATACATTATTTATATAAAGAAGTATACCTTTTTGTAAACGCGACCGAAAAATATGCCTGAGTAAATAGATTTATGGATATTTTAGTAAAAATTATCGAAATAATTGAAAAATAAATTGTGCGTGTACTAGGTGTACACACGTAAGAAGTGAAACTTCTTTATGATCTTATTTTTCGAAAAATGATCTACTATATGCAACTTTACAGAAATTCGTTAAATTAGATAAAGTTTAACTAAAGGCTTTTATTATCATAGACATGAATACAAATATTTCATTTTACCTTATTACTACGAAGATTATTATAGAATTTCATTAATTGTAATAGAATTATTACTATCATTGAAAAACGTGACGATTTGCTACAAAATTTCTCCCATACGTCGATAAAGAAGTTTCATTCCAACGCCGATAAAGAAGTTTGACTTCAAAAAGCAACATGGCGCGTAACCGAAAAATGTGACGCGTAACGAAAAAATGTTACACTAAATTTTTTTCCAACCTCGATAAAGAAGTTTCACTTCAAAAAAAACAAATGTATCAGCGTATATGTTTTTAAGAAGTAACTGAAAATTGTAACAATAGCTAGTAAATATCACTTACAACATCTGGATCCTGATCCCGTGGCCCCAGGGTC